AATATTATTTTTATTCAATAAAAACAGTGACTTAATTGAAAAAAATTATATAGAGAGGGGTATTATTATAATTATTCCTAAATATATAAGGTAAAATTATATATATTTTCGGGTCGGGTCAGGTTTGTTTCACCCTAAACCCGAACTCGACCCGACCCGAATATCACACTTAAAAAATCGACCCGACCCGACCAAAATAAAGTTTCACCCGACCCGACCTAAAATAATAAAAAAATATTTTTATTCAATATATGAATAAGTTACCAAAAGATTGATGAGGGTAGTATGGTCAAATTTCAATTCCCTCCAACAAGGGAATTGAATTCCATCATAGAATGGATGGAATTCACTTTCCCTCATTTGATGGAAAATTTAAGTCATGAGGGATTCCAATTCCCTTTGAAAACTTGAACCAAACATAAGAAAGTGGTGGAATTGGATTCCAATTCCCCCTAATTCTAAGGGATTCATGCGAACCAAATGATACCTTAATAATGTTAGAGTTGGGTGCTAAACGTTAAGGATTGACATGGTCATTTTTCGCGTCAAAATAAATTTATTCTTCTCGAAAATAAGAAAATTTTATATAATATAAGAGAAGTAGGGTTGAAACTCACGGGAACTAAGGAGATAGACAAATTTCTCGGTTCATGATTTAGGACTTTGGCGTGATCTTGCTTGAAAGAAAATGGAATAGGGGTTTGTGGTTTAAGAGAAATAAAATGTAAGACAATTGAAATTGAAAGAAAGATTACAAAGAAAGGAAAGAAAATTTGAGAAAGTAAAACCTTGGAAAATCAATGCTCAAAATAAAAAATTATATAATATAAGAGAAGTAGGGTTGAAACTCACGGGAACTAAGGAGATAGACAATTTCTCGTTCATGATTTAGGACTTTGGCGTGATCTTGCTTGAAAGAAATGGAATAGGGGTTTGTGTTTAAGGAAATAAAATGTACAATTGAAATTGAAAGAAAGATTACAAAGAAAGGAAAGAAAATTTGAGAAAGTAAAACCTTGGAAAATCAATGGATTAAATCAATCTTAGGCATTCGCTCTGACTCCAATTGGATCATCGAAATAGATTTACCCTTCACGATTCACATCTGTTACTTTGTCTACAAGGACAGGTCCTTGCGATTAACTTGTATACCGAATACCCAAGTGCAATTCTTCGATTTCGGATTTGGAAAGTGATCTAATCAACATTATTTGTTGTAGATCAAGAACCATTAAAGTGCATAAAACCAACTCGAATGGTTGTTCCAATCAAAACCGTTTCCGATCTCAATTCTCACTTTAGCAACAATTTGTTAATTGTGTTCCCGGGAAGTTCATTTGCTATAAATTAGTTGATCATTCCTCCCACATGTTTAATCGCAACAACATTCCGACCATCGACTATCTTTGGGTTTGAAAATTATTTTTATTTGAAATAAGCACAAAAGAAATTGAGAAATGTATCTGAAGTTACTTTAGTGTTTTTTAATTCTAATGTTAGAAATGAGTCATCGCTTAGCCCTCACCTTAGAAGAAAATTAGCTAAGCATGACCAAAGTCATACTTAGCAATTTGAAAATAAAGCTTAAAAGAAAATATACAAAGTGAAAAAAAGAGAAATTTTATAAAGCGAAAAGAAAGAAAGAACAAGAAAGAAATGTTTTTGATAATTGAATGAATGATGAATGAGTCATGCTTTAGGCTTACCCCAAGGGGTATTTACAGCATTCTAAAACCCTAGAAATGCACTCAAAATACAAAAAATAATTATTTGAATTTAAATCCTAAAAGTAAAAAAATAAATCCTAAAAACGTGATTTTTAAATTGCTTAAAATGCTCCAGTCGTCCATACATCTTCTAGAAGCCGCTGACTGGACGTTGTTGATTAGACATTCTAGAAGCTACTGACTTACTGTCACGTCAGCATTTCATGCCCACTGTTCCAGCTTTGATTTCAAAACAAAACAAAAAATGCAGTTTTCAAGACTTTTAAGCACATTTCTCATAAGAGATTGCCATGCACAATAAGCATATAAAAACATCCAATTCAGCAGTAAACATGAACAAACAAAGAGCATTAAAGCACAAAATGTAGTACAAAATAAACACTAATCAAGGATGTTAAGAGTTAGCTGTTATGTAATTTGTTGTTCATACTGTCATGTTTCTTGTTTGATCTATTGTATTACTCAATATGGTACTAATCGTCAATGATTCTAGATTCGTTATTCTTCCTCTGTACATACAAGTCTTAATGAAATGTGGTGTATACGACTTGGGCATCCTGATGTCGTTTTGCTTGACAATACGGAAAAAGGGAGCATTTGCGGAAACCACCACATTCCTTTTACCTAAAACAGTATATAAAAGCCCGTTTCAACTAATCTTCACTAATCTATGATGGCCAACACATGCTAATTCTAATGGATTATGTTACTTTTGTTTGTGCGCGTGTACCAAGCATATTTGGTTCTATTTGCTGAAAGACAAGTGCGATCTAGTGTGCTGTCCTCTGAATTGGTTAATACATCTCAATAGCGTTGTTTGTAAAAGAAAGTCATTACTATACAAGAAGCAAATATGTTTTTAAGTACAACAGGAAAACAGTTTAATTAATTAAAGACATTGCATAAATGTTATTTTAAAGAAGAAAAAAAACTAGATTATTTTTCGACACAGAAGAGAGCAAGAACCGACCATCTGGGATGCGATTTCTTTTAAAAACAACAGGGGAATGTTATCTCTAGGCATCGTTGGAATTTTCCTTTCTTAGGAGGAGGCTTGGGAGGTTCAGACTTATTTGGGTAACCTGGAGGCTTTGGAAGTCTTTTCTGAGGTTGTGGATTGATGACTACCACATTATTATGGACAATGTTCGTCTTCTGGTCATGAGCTTTGGGCTCATGATTGCTGTTAACCGGCGGATCAGATGGGGTGTGTGTGTTCTTCGGAGGATTCAAATGATCGTCTTCAACGACTGACTTCTCTTGGATTGAAGGAGTATCCTGCCCCGATGGACTGCTTTCATGTTGCTGCTGGTTGGAGTTTTTATGACTGTTTTGATCGTCAGGATTGTCGTTTTCTGGAAGAACCACCGGAGGAGATGCTTGTTTCTGTTGTTGGTGGTGGTGGTGGTGGCGGCTGGAGTTTTTATGGCTGCTTTGATTGTTAGTATTATTGTTTCTTGGAGGAACCGTCACCGGAGATAGTTGCTATTGCGACTGCTGCTGCTGCTGGTGATGGTGATGGTAGGAATTTTTATGACTGTTTTGATTGTCAGGATTGTCGTTTTCTGGAAGAACTACCAAAGGAGATGCTTGTTTCTGTTGTTGGTTGTGGTGGCGGCTGGAGTTTTTATGACTGCTTTGATTGTCACCACGATTATCTTCTTCGGGAAGAACCGTCACAGGAGATATTTTCTGGTGGTGGTAGTGATTGCGGTGGCAGCTATTGCCGCCTTGCGGAGGATCCCCGCCGCCGCTTCCACCGAGGGATTTCGCCGAAGGTGGATTATAAGCATTATTACGGAAAGGGGACCTTTGAGTAGAATCGTTCATCTCTTTCACCAGGAACTGGACGCTCTGGTCTCCACTGTTTCTCATAAGTTCCATAATTGATTTGGTTTTAATATCAACGAAATCAAATTTAATAAATTAAAGGTGAACTGAGATTCCTTTCGTCTAACTGTATAAAGCTTAATTTACTTTATTCCAATTCAATTAATATTTAATATCTTTAATTATGAATTATTAAGTGTGACTTAAATAAAAATTAAATAGATTTTTTTGTGATGAAAAGTTCATGTCAGTGGTGACTCTCGAGTCTCTTTCATTTACTCGCACTTATATAATATATATTATATTAAAAGCCGAAATTAGCAGACGATTCTCAGCTTGGAAAGAACGCATCATACTATAACATGAATTCAGCATATAGTTCCCTTTAAGTAAGTTGGAATTTTGTTGGAATTTTAGTGATACTGTTGGATATATATATATATATATATATATATGATTAATTTTTTATATAAACTATATTTATTATTTTCATTTTAATTTTAGTTTTAGTTTATATGATAATTCATGCATATTTTATACATTATTTTAAAAAAAAATTTTATTTTATTTTTTTAGTGAATCTTGTAGCTTACTCATCCAACTCACAAAACTGAAACTACTTCGGATTTTAGTTAATCACCTTAAAGAAGCCGATGAGTAAAAAATAATATTAATTTAAAAAAATGTTAAATGATAATAGCATTATTCCTACAACCATTTCAAAATAAATTTATAAAAAAAAAAATTAGCCCTACATAGATCCATCAAATTTGGGATTTCCTCATTGATCAAACTTTAATGATTCTTCGTATGCAATATAATAGTAGCTGATTATTTATCCAAATTAATGACTGTTTAATTAAATTAAAAGTTGAAGCCTTGCTTTGTGCAGGGTGTTCCAATATTCCTCCCCTTAGCTTGCAACTCGGAGTTTATTCTAATAATGATGTTACATAAAGTTTAAGTTTCGTAAAATACAAATACAACGTATTAAACTTATATTACCATTGTACGAATTAAATGACTTATGTAGTAAAGAAATTATTGTTATTTTTTAAGAGATTCCGTAATAAAGAAATTTGTACTTGAATTATTTGATCATAGACGAAATCATTTTAAATACTAATTATATGCATGAACTAAACTTTCCGTCTAGATTTTATATTTTTTTAACATAATTGGATTTTATTAATGTAGGAGGTTAATTCTGTATAAGATAAATTTTGGATTTATATTTTCGTTGTCTGCTAATCAGAAATACTAAAAATAAACTGAGCACCGAAATTATTAATGAAAGTTTTCTTCTCTATTCATTGAATAAAAACAATGCATTAAAAGACGCCATGTTACAAAGAAGAAGAAATTACGAATAATAGAATTGATAAATAATAAAACAATACATTCAAACACAATAATGATGATTGAATAATGAGGTTGTGTGTTTTAGAAGATGCCGCGACAGCAGCAGCACCACTTGGAACAGAAACCTTTATCAGTCTCAGGCGGATCAGGAGGAGGAGCCGGCGGAAGCACCGGCGGTTCGTCCGATTGTATAAGGAAGTCTGCAGGAGGCTGCTGCGGCGGCGACGGCGGCTTGTTCTGCTCCTTCAGTTCTTTCGAAGGAAGATCCTCCATTGGAGGAGTTACTCCATTGAAGGGCTGTCTATCGTTTTTTGGTTGCTTCACGATCCGAGCTGAAGATGGGAGTGGCTGGTTTTTCTCCACCGGACGGTGCTGTTTAGGTTGATGATCGTGTTTTGAAAGAGGTTGCCTATCTTTTTCTGTCTGTTCCACGTTCCGAGCTGGAGGCGGCAGCTGGTTCTGGTTCTGTCGATCTTTTGAAGGAGGGTCCTCAATTGAACGGAGCTGGTTACGTTGATGATCGTGTTTTGAAGGAGTTTGTCCATCTTTTTGCTGTTGCTCCACGGTCCGAGCTGGAGGCGGGGGTGGCTGGTTTTGGTTCTGGTTCTTTCTATCTTTTGAAGGAGGCTCCTCCAACTGACGGTGCTGCTTAGGTTGATGATCGTGTTTTGAAGGAGGTAATCTATCTTTTTCTGGTTGCTCCGCATTCCGAGCTGGAGGCGGCGTCTCTTTCTTGTTCTGGATATCTTTTGAAGGAGGGTCCTCCATCGAACGGTGCTGTTTACGTTCATGATCATGTTTTGAAGGAATTACTCCGTCGAAGGGCGGTTTATCTTTTACTGGTTGCTCCAGGGTCCGAACTGGAGGCGGCGGTTGGCTCTGGTTCTGGTTCTTTCGATCTTTTGAAGGAGGGTCCTCCATCGGACTTTGCTGTTGATCATGTTTTGAAGGAATCACTCCACTGGTGGCTTGTTTAGCTTTTTCTAGTTGCTCCACTTTCCGAGCTGAAAGTGGCGGCTCTGCTTGTTTCTTTCTTGGAGAAGTTGGTGGATTGGTATGGTTCAAGAGAGGATTTGAAGTATGAGATTTGGAAGGAACTTTATCATCTTTTGATTCTTCTTCATCCATCTTGAATGAACTGCTCATCTTTCTATTTGCACTTGTTCCCTCTGCTTTTCACTAAATATATATTACAAGTGGGAATACAAATGTTATGATGAATGTATGCAATAATTATATATTCTTTTGCCTTTTTGGTAAATGTCTTTCCACCACCAACACCCTTCCGAAATGGAGATTGATACTTGTCCCAATTTCACCGGGGGTTGATCTACCAAGGATCCTGTTTGTTGGACTGGTGTTAAGCCCTCATTTAGGATATTTTTTTTTATATAAATGAGTTTAATAAATATTATACATAAAGACTTATTCGCCCTAATCATATAATTCATCGACTTGGAGTGAACAAGAATATTAGGGTTCTCCTATCAGGGAATGGGTGCGGAGATCAAAGAGGGGGTTTACAATAAGTAGGTGCACACAGGTTCGTAGACGTTCAACTTAAAATTTTGAAGAACAGTCCTTTTACTCGTTAATATCATGTGGTATATTCTTCTTTTCTTCAATCTTCAGATTTTGTTTAATTATTAAATTCATAATTATCTGATTCGCGAGCATTTAATAAAAAGATATTTAAAATTGCATAGAACCAGCACAGATTCTTCTCAATCCCACTCTTGACAGGCTTTTCAATCTCTATTTCTATATTCTATTCCCATTGGCATGGTCACACTTTAGAGCTGTACATATCCCCAAATCAGACCAACATGACTCTAAGCCAGTCCAGTAAACTCGTTCGAGATTCGTTTGATTTAGATAAAATTTTCATTTTATGATCAAATTCACCTTCACTTGATTCACCAACATATCTAATTACTCAAGGACTAAGGTTATCCCTTAACAACTGACTATTATATATATCTATATATTACAGAATTATATATATCTCCTAACTTTTGTCTGATTTTATTTCTCTCAATTTCTATTGTTAATTATATTTTGTCCACTTTAATTAAAATTCTGATTCCATCACTATAATTACTTCACTGTGTTAGATAAAAGATTGAGGACCATTCATATGCTGTAGAATTTGTTGGTAGAAACATCCATTATAGTTCCTACCCAATTTTCTATCTGTGTCAATAATAACAGGTTCTAACACACTGGTCAGACAGGACAAACCATCGGTTTCTAGTTCAACGGATCTGTTTCTTTTTCTTTTAATCAGTGGCCACCTACAGAGCATGTGCCTGTTCATGTTCAGGTTTGTGACTGAACTCGTAATCCAAATGAACAAAAGCTCGCTCGATGTCGGGCAGTAACTCCAGTTTCTGTTGCAAGGATTCTCCATGTCATGAACTTCTAACACAGAAAACAACATAAATTTAACAAAAATCACTTAACATCAACCTCCAAATAAAGCAAATTAGTTGTCTGATCAATAAAATTTGCAAACTTTTTACCATAATTTCCATGCAAAACCTTAAAACTATAAGGCACAACCCACGGTGTAAATAACGTAAGGAAGAAGAATTCACATACCTCCACTATGAAGAATAGCTCAAACTCATTGTGGCCATAAACAGAGAATCAACAAAAAAATAATAATAAGTGATCTTCCATTAGAATTGAAAAATAAATAGATAAAAAAATCCAAATTGAGTAAATTGTAACCAAATCAAATCAAGTTCATAAATAATTTTAAAAATAATATTGCAAATTACGCTCAATAAATGAAGTCCAACTTGGCACCAAATCAAGTTCATAAATAGTCATTAAACTATTTTAAAATAATGTTTTAGGTGCTAAAATTTTAATATTTTTAAACAATAATTCTAAAAATAAAAAAAAAACATTTTTAGAATAATGAAAATTCATAATTTATTTTTATAATTATAAAAAGCCTTTTGCAAATAAAATTTTAATAAAATCTTTGTATTTTTTATTACTTACATTTTCATCTTTCCTTTAACTTATAATCAAGTTTAACTATAGAAAACACTCCAACTTAGTGTGAAGCGCATAAGAGGATATAATCATAAAAGATACTCTAATATAAAAAAACAAACTTTATAAAGGTGATGTCTTCAGCAAGCAAGCATTGTCGTATAATTTAGGTTCTTTTCTAAATTTAACTTGTTTCCAAGTTCATCTCTAGTATTCCGAAAAAGCCTTACAAGAAGGTGGAACTGAAACTCTATCTCCATGGATACCCTATAGAATTACATATTATGACTGAAAGACTTGAAAAGATTGAAAAGATTGTTAAAGATTTAATTAAATTTTGGATAAACTATGTATTAAATACTTAAACTACTAGTTTTAATTTATTTTAGTATCTAAGTTTTTAATTTTTTTTAAAAATCATATCTAACGTTTAGTATTCATTTTATTTTAGTATCGTCTTTAAAAACTTAACGTGTTTAATACATAAATTATCAATTTTAATTTTTTATTTTGAATTTGAACGGAAATTAATATTTTTAAGTTAGTGAGTGTTTAAGTTGAATCAAACTCAATTTTCATTTTTTTTACTTCAAACTCAATCATATTCAACTCTTATTTACTACCCTAATTGTGAGGAAATAGAAAGAGAAGATGTTTTAAACAATTAAGGTGGGTAGTGTATGAAATGAAATAATGCAGGTAGATTATTTGCTACTTGGAAATAGGGTGTAAAGAGTTGACCCGACCTATAAAATTGACTGAAAGAGACTCGAGTCAAAATTATTTTTGACCTACATTGTGGCGATTCAAAACCGACTCGAGTCGGAATCGGTGTTGACTTGAACCCGAGTTGGATCTGAAAATTGTATATCTGAACCCGACCTGCACATGACCTGAGAACGACCTGAACCTGAATTGAACCAAAAATATGATACCCGAACCTAACCTGCATCCGACTGATATGAACCCGAACCCAAGATTGACATGGCAAATAACTGGTATTACCCGACCTATTTTCAACCCGACATGTTATGAACCTGACCTGTAAATTATCCGACTTGTTATTGACCTAATCTAATATTTACCTAACTTATATAATATCAATGATGAGATTATAAGATTTTAATAAAATTGTGAGATTTTGAGTTTATAATAAATCATACTAATTAATATAATTAAATTTTAAATTTTATAATAAAATATTAATTATGATAATTAAATTAATAAATAGATTTATTATATTAATTATGATTCTTATGTTATAAATCTTCAATATAATCATTAATTTTATTTTATCAAGTAATTTATGTACTGAACATTATTAATTAAATTAATTATAATGATTAAAAGTTAGAATAATTTATTGGCATTGAACATGGTTAATAAAATTATTTTAAATGTAAATTATATAGTTTAATTTATGTAAAAAAAATTATCTAACAATTATAACATATATAAAACATAATATAAAAAGATGAATTTAATTGATATTGATAATGTAAATAACATTTGATCTAAAATTTGAATAATATTTGATTTATTACAGTTGGATATAATAAAATCACAATAAAATGAACAAAAACAAAGTGTTTTTTTAAGCTCTCATATCTTATAACAAAAGTTTTATAAGGCTAAAAGTCTAACTTTACTACCAGAAATTTCTTCATCGAGCTTTTGTATCTGTCATCACACATTTTATCCGGGTGACGACACGTGGCGGTTTTCATATTATAATATAGTAATATAATAAATGTGTGGGCATGTGTATAATATATAGTATGTATATAGTATATAGTTGGCATATTAGATATATCATATAGTGTATAATTTTTGCTAGGTGATTGCATATTAAATAATTATTAGCATGTTATATAGTACATATTAAATAATAGTTGCATTTTATATCATATAGTTTCATATCAAATAATTGCATATTATATTAGATATTAAATAATTAGATATTACATAGTTTATATTATATATTTAGTATATACTATATAGTTTGTATGTTAGATTAAATAGTCCATATTAATATAGCTCAATTTAAATAATAAAAATCTAAAATAATAGTTCATTTCATTATATAATAGTCCATTTACATAGTTTTTTAAAGGCAAAATCAACAAGATAATGTTGTCGGGAAATAAATTCACGAGATAATGTGTTCCAACAATTAATTACTGAGATAGGGTGAAATCTATAGTTCGAACGTATATCGCCAGGAGCTCCGGGTGACCAAAGAGGACGCCATGTTGTCCCTGCGAGCTGTGGTGAGATGCTGCACTTTGCATACTTGAAGGTCACCATGCACGCCCTACTGAAATGGAGGTCGCCATGTTTCAGATAAAGCCTAATTACCGACATAGGTAATCATTGTTACTTAGGGAAATTTAGGTAATCGCCATGCGTAAAGGTCGCCATGCACGCCCTACTGAAAATGGAGGTCGCCATGTGATCCCAGCGACCAAACCTGTCACCTGCTCCCCTCATGCTCGCCTGCTCCCCGCTGCAAGCCGCTGCTCCCATACAGCTTTAATAACTGCATTATTCCAACATCATTTTTGCTGCTTCATGCAACAATTATTACTGCATTATTGTAGATGTTGGAGGCCTGTGATTTCAACAATTATTGCCCAATTAATTGAAGCAGCCGGGGCTTAATTTTTATATATATGATATGATATGGGGTTAACGAAGCATAAAAGAAAGAAAGGGAGAAGAGTGCAGAGAGAAAGGAAAGGAAGAATAAGAAGAAAGGGAGGCAAACATCGTGAGGTAATTTTTTATTTTATTTAAATTAGTTTATTATTTTAAATTATTAGTTTGTTAGTTTAGGGTTTTGGGTAAAAGCCTAATTACAGATATAGGTAATCATTGTCACTTAGGGAAATTTAGGTAATCGTCTTTCGAATTTGATAGTTATATATTAAAAAAATAATTAATTAATTTGTTTGTTAGTCGTTAGTTATATAAAAAATATATTTAATTAGTTTGTAGTTAGTTAAATAGTTAAGTTATATTTGTTTGTTGAATTTATATTATATAAAAAAATTTAGTTAATTAGTTTATTAGTAGTTTAAGTTATATTATAATTAAAAAATAGTTTATTAGTTTAAGTTATATAAAAGAATAGTTTATTAGTTGATTAAGGGCGCATTTAAGTTATATTTTAAAAAGTTTAGTTTTTTAGTTTATTATTTTATTATATTATAAGTTATTATATTAAATTTTTTTGTTAGTTAGTTTATATCAGATTATATTAAATGATTTTATAAATATTGTTGTTTAATTTTTTTTACAGATTCATTCGAATGGCTGACCAAATTCCACTGTTGAGACTTGACAATAAACATATTTCAACTCATTTGGGAATAATGGTGTTATTCTTATTTAGTAAAATAAAATATTTGCTTAATGAATTATTATTATTAAATATTTGAATATTAATTTATGATTATGATAAATTTTTTGAATTATTTAATTGCAGGAGGACGAGCAACGAGTCCTTCGTCATCGGCTACATAATATGCCCAAACCACACCAATTGATAAAAGAAAACTTGCAACAGGCTGGATTTTTGTATGTAACATTTGTGTGAGAATAATCAGAGGAAGATTTCAACTAGTCCACACATGTGAAGATCTAATAATTTAAGAACAAAAATTACATAAATTCAACTTCAATACGAAGATCTAATAATTTAAGAACAGAAATTACATAAATTTCCTTGCAAAAATAGGTTCATTATTACAAAAATAGTTGTAGACATTTAATATCTTATGTAGGTGAAAGCATTCATCAACATAAGTATATGCGCTAACACCAGCATACATACATGCAGCGACTGCAAGAGCACATGGATATTTCCGTGCCTGAAAACGACCACAATCACACCATTTGTGTCGTAAATCAACTCTAAATGTTTGGTCTTCTCCTCCGACGTTACGGCGTATGCACGACACAACAAAAATATGACCAACTCGGTCGAAATTATGAACTACCATTGATGTTGCCAATCGCTCATTTTCTTCCATTGCTTCCACCACTGTAGGAGCCCAAGTTTGACCTCTATTTATGAGACTCTCAATTTGCTTGCCTTTATCGGACCAAACCTTAGCCAACCTAAAGTACGTCTCTTTCACCACACTCGCTATTGGAAGATGACATGTATCTTTTAGTACTAAATTAATGGCCTCAACAAGGTTTGTGGTTATATGTTCGTATCGCCGACCTTCATCGTATGCTTGCGACCATTTTTCCTACGGTATTTTTGAAGCCCACTTCCAAACACGTTGATCATCGTAAAATACCTTCAAATTCTCCAATCTCTTATAAAAATTTGGTCGGCGTAGTTCGTATCTTGTTTCATAATATATTGCATTAGACCACAATTAAAAAAACCACATAAAAAATCACAAATATTGAAAATAAAACTTACTCATGTTGACTATCTCGCTACGAATTTGTGCATTATGAAACTGGAAGTCAGTAATTAGGCTTTTATCCGAACCATTACCTATATCGTTACTTAGGCTTTTACCCTAAACTAACAAACTAACAATTTAAAAAAAATAAACTAATTTAAATAAAATAAAAATTACCTCACGATGTTTGCCTCCCTTTCTTCTTCTTATTCCTTTCTTTTCTCTCCGCACTCTTCTCCCTTTCTTTCTTTTATGCTTCGTTAACCCCATATCATATCCTATATATAAAAATTAAGCCTTGGTTATTTCAATTAATTGGGCAATAATTGTTGAAATCACTGGCCTCCAACATCTGCAATAATGAAAATGAAGTTGAATGAAGCAGCTAAAATGATGCTGCAATAATACAACTATTAAAGCTACATGGGAGCAGCGGGGAGCAGGCAAGCATGAGGGGAGAAGGGGGAGGTTTGGTCGTCGGGATCACATGCCGGCATACATGGCGACCTCTATTTCAGCAGGTCGTGCGTGGCGACCTTCACGCATGGAGATTATCTAAATTTCCCTAAGTAACAATGATTACCTATATCGGTAATTAGGCTTTTATCTGAAACATGGCGACCTCCATTTCAGCAGGGCGTGCATGGCGACCTTTAAGCATGCAAAGTGCAGCAGCTCACCACAGTTCGCAGGGACGGCATGGCGACCTCCTTGGTCGCCCGGAGCGCCTGGCGACCTCCTTGGTCGCCCGGAGCGCCTGGCGACTTACGTTCGAACTGTAGATTTCACCTTATCTCAGTAATTAATTGTTGGAACGCATTATCTCGTGAATGTTTTTTTCCAACAACATTATCTCGTTGATTTTGCCATTTTTTCAAGGGCCCAAATAAATAGCACACGTTGTAAATATATAATGAAATGAAAAAAATCCTAAATTGCTTCATCCTAAATTGCTTCATCCTTGGCCGTCAGTTTTGGGTGCTTTTGAGAGGAATTTGGTTGCTTTGAAAAGTCAAAGATGAAACATTTATGGTGGTGTGGTTTTTAATGTGATAACATCACCAATCCTTTTGAAAATACACAAACTAATATCCATCCTTGATTAGCCTTCATCCAAGGGTCATTATTGCTTCAATCCATGTGAAAGAAACACAAATTCATGTGAACTCTTGGATGAGAAGCTAGATCCAATGCCTCCCATTAAGTCACATCATGCATCCAAGTGAAAAAAACAAGAATTAATCTTAACTATTGGATCAATATTGGATCCAATGGCTAAGATTTCATCATCCAAAGGAGGTGCACTCCCCACCGGTGTGTCCCAACCGGTCGGAGATCTTGTTGGCGTGTCGTTGACCCACGTGTCGGTCCGGTCATTTTCCTCGTCGAGTTGCCATCATGTCACCATCGCACTGTTGTTGTTCCGCCTCCGTCGTCGATCATGTTTCGAGCATGCAAAAAAATTAGAGCTGAAATATAGTATATAGTTTTTATAGATTATATATAGTTCATATGTAAACTATATAGTTTATATATGTAGTATATACTATATAAATAGTTTATTAATTAATGTATTTAACTATATAGTATTCATACATATACTATATACTTTGAATTTATATAATATAAATTATATAAGTATAAACTATATAATATAGTATATAAATATCAACTATATTATATAGTATAAATATCAACTGTAGTATATAGTTTATATATATATATATATATAGTTCATATGTAAACTATATTATATATATAGTTTATATAGTTTATATATATAATATATAGTATATAAATATCAACTATAGTATATAGTATATAAATATAAGAGAAAATAACCTCAGTGACCAAAAATGCCTTATAATATACGATTTTAACCAACTTTTTTTGGATTTGCCAAAATGACCAACTAAATCGCAATGAGATCGATAATTCGCAATGCGATCTCCGGTATCGCAAATCAGTTTCCAGATTCGCAACGCGATTCTGACTATCGCATTGCGATTTCCCAAATTCGCGTTGCAATTTTCATAAATCGCAATGCGATTACGTAAATCGCAATGCGAATTAGGAAAATTGCAATGCGATTACGTAAATCGCAATGTGATTAGGTAAATCGCAATGCGAATTAGGAAAATCGTAATGCGATTGCGTAAATTACAATGCGATTATGTAAATCGCAATGCGAATCTGACTATCGCAATGCGATTTACATAGCGCCATTCGTATTAACGTGTATTTTTTTCAAATTCCAAACACGAATATATTAATATATCGGAAACTGAACCGTCCACAGTATATCCCGTAATCGCAACTCATAACCTAAAACCTAAAATCACAACTCATTCCCATCTCTCACTCTCTACGGTAAAATCCGTCCCCATCTCCGAAGATTTCTGTCCCCATCTCCGGTGAAATCCCTCACAACCATTTACGGTCAGAAATCCCTCACAATCATTCAGAAATGGAAAATCAACCTCCGAGGGTTAGTTTTTTTAATTAGTTTTATTTTGAAATTTTTGCTTGAGAAAATAATCTCAGTGACCAAAAATGCCTTATAATATACGATTTTAACCAACTTTTTTTGGATTTGCCAAAATGACCAACTAAATCGCAATGCGATCGATAATTCGCAACGCGATTACGTAAATCGCAATGCGATTACGTAAATCGCAATGCGATTACGTAAATCGCAATGCGAATTAGGAAAATCGCAATGCGAATCTGACTATCGCAATGCGATTTACATAGCGCCATTCGTATTAACGCGTATTTTTTTTTCAAATTCCAAACACGAATATATTAATATATCGGAAACTGAACCGTCCACAGTATATCCCGTAATCACAACTCATAACCTAAAACCTAAAATCACAACTCAGTCCCATCTCCATCTCTCACTCTCTACGGCAAAATCCATCCCCATCTCTGAAGATTTCCGTCCCCATCTCCGACGAAATCCCTCACAACCATTTACGGTCAGAAATCCCTCACAATCATTCAAAAATGGAAAATCAACCTCGAGGTTAGTTTTTTAATTATTTTTATTTTGAAAATTTTGCATTATTTTAGGTTTTTCATATTGAAATTGATGATAAATTTACTGGTAATTTCAATAATAGATTAACCATTTCACTTAGATTTCTTATTAAATTCATTTGATTGCTGTCAATACTGCTAAACTGTTTAGTCTTTAACCCTATGAAGTTAGTATTTGTCTTTGTTTTGTCTTTTGGTTGAAGTAATGCAGAAGAAGAATAGTTTCTAAACTTAATATCGCAACATGAAAATGAAAATCGCAACACGAAAATGACTATCGCAACGAGAGAACCGCAACGCGAAATGAAAATCGCAACGATATAATCGCAACGCGAAACCAAAATCGCATTGCGATTTTCATTTCGCGTTGCGATTCTCTGGTTGCGATTTTCATTTCGCGTTGCGATTTTCATTCTCTCGTTGCGATTTTCATTTCAACCAAAAGATAAAACAGTGTTGCAAATTTTAGTTTCAAGAATAAACTACTATTTATGTTTATTGTTTTTGGTATATCTTCACAGTGTAGTTTTTGGTATATCTAACTTGGTATGTTTATTGTTTTTGTAGAAATTTTTTTCGGCTTTATTGACATTAAGGAATAAAGTTAGCCTAGCCACTACAATTGCTTCGAAGCTTTCACCTGCACAAAGAAAATTATTTGAGGAAACCTGTTTCGGGCCATGGCTGAGAGTACAGCATCCAGGTGGAGATGCTAATTTGACCTATTTGTGGCTTCAGACCATGACTAGCGATCTACCCGACAGTATACAACGTGGTGAGGAATAGATATGGTTTCATTTTCCACCGGCATATACTTGTTTTGGGCGGAAGGAGTTCTGCTTAATCACTAGTCTACGATTCGGACACGATGATGTAGGCCGGTACACTCGTCATATCACCCGCCCATCATGGTTATCCAGGGTTTTTCCTGATGAGTTTAATAAGAACCGAACTTACACGTCGACACCTGAAGAAATTGTTTAATAAGAAAGATGGTTTTACTCGGATGAATGACGTCGATGTTGTCCGAGTATGCCTTCTAGTACTTTGTATGCCGGCTTTTTAGGCAGAGAGGCCACACCTATTCCTCATGAGCTAATATTAGAGAGGACCTAAATGCATGGAATCTGTTTCCGTGGGGTTCGTATATATGGAAAGCTACATGGACTAAGTTGTCGTCTGCCTTTAATGACCGCAAAAGTTTGCATGGCGATGGGTCAAAATACACTTTGTCAGGCTTTGTTTGGGCCTTTAAGGTAAAAATTTCTATATAATGTTTCAAAATTATAATTAATTATTTAACAATTACTAATGTTTGTTATTATATTGTTTGTAGATTTGGATATTCGAGGCTTTCCCCAGCATGCAGACATATATTAAAAACTTCAAATGATATTCCTAGGGCTATTTCTTGGAAGAGGAAACGTCTGTTGGATTGGGAAGACTTAATACCATATGCGACAATAAATAATGTAAGTTAACACAAATAGTTTGTTATTATATTGTTTGTAGATTTGGATTCGAGGCTTCCCCAGCATGCAGACATGTATTAAAAACTTCAAATGATATCCTAGGGCTATTTCTGGAAGAGGAAAACGTCTGTTGGATGGGAAGACTTAATACCATATGCGACAATAATAATGTAAGTTAACACAAATACTATCATATATAAACAAGTTATTAATAGTAGACGTTTAACTTTGTTTGAGTTTTTATATTTTTAGGAGGCCAACACTCCTTTATTGAGACTGGCATCCACAGAGGCTGAGCTTGCCACTGATTGGTGGCAGCTAGTCACGTTTCTTGATGGTACGAATGATGAGCCTTCACTTCCCTCCACTTCGAGAGCCATCACCTCACCCAGAGCATCACCTGATCGACCCGACTATACACCTTTACAACGAGAGTCATAACCTATCCCGTCATATCATCGAGCCTCTTCTCCACCATCACCTCATGATAGGCGACCGGAAAAGATGCCACGACTTCTATCTCCCTGTTCTCCACCTCCACGGGATGAGTCAAGGGAGTTACGTGATGAGGTCAATGCCTTGCGTGAGGAGATCGGTACTCTACGCGATAACGATGGTGTATGGCGTGTGGAGGTGTCTACTTTACGTGGTGAGGTTGCCGCTGTACGTGATATGGTAGTATCGTTGCAGAATGAGGTTCATACTCTACGCAACGAGTTAAGTTTAAGATTTTCCATATTTAACTTGATGATAAATTACTCGTAATTTCACTTAGATTAAACCATTCACTTAGATTGCTTAGTAAATTTATTCGGTTGCTGCAATACTGCTAAAACTGTTTATTAACACTGTGAAGTTAGTATTTGTCTTTTGTTGTCTTTTGGTTGAAATTTTGTCTTTTGGTTGAAGTAATGCAATCCATTCAAGTTTCAATTTGCAGAAAAAGAAGAAATAGTTTATTCTTGAAACTATATTTTAGCAACACTGTTTTGTCTTTTGGTTGAAATGAAAATCGCAACGAGAGAATAAAAATCGCAACGAGAGAATCGCAACGCGAAATGAAAATCGCAACGACAAAATCGCAACGAAAAACCAAAAATCGAAACGCGAAACTATAATCGCGTTGCGATTTTCATTTCGCATTGCGATTCTCTCGTTGCGATTTTCATTTCGCGTTGCGATTTTCGTTTCGCGTTGCGATTTTCATTCTCTCGTTGCGATTTTCATTTTGCGTTGCGATAGTCATTTTTCACGTTGCGATTTTAAGTTCCAGAAACTATTCTTCTTCTGCAAATTGAAACTTGAATGAATTGCATTACTTCAACCAATAGACAAAGAAAAATACTAAGTTGACAGTGTTGCAAGTTTGAAACATATTTGTCTTTGTTATCTGATGCATTTTGTGAACTATGATAGAATAATGACTTGGGTGAATTCAATGCAAGTTTGAAACATATTTGTCTTTGTTTTCACTGTTTAAATACCATGTTTGTTTATTTACTGATTTTTGTATTTAATTATTTAGTGGCCCGATAAGGTGGATGCTTTACGTCGGGTTTTTCTTGCACGACAGAGTTCACGCATCAGACGGCGTGCACGTGCTATTAAGTCTCCGTACACCCCAATAGTGCGAAGACACCGCAAGAAGAAGCCCGACTCGCCTGTCATCCCTCAAGAGTCCACTCCTATCGTTGAAGAGGCCCCTATCATTCCTTGAGAGTCCCCTCCAACCGTTCAAGAGGCCACTGTCATCGTTGAAGAGGTCTCTCCCACCATTCAAGAGCCCGATTCACATGGCGTCATATGTAGGATTCTTGAGAAACCCTCTGACGTGCCGGACATGATGGATGATAGTTGGCTCTCGTATGAGTTACCGGCCAGTACCATTCAAGTATCTGAAGTGGAGAGGAGACAACTACCAGACACAATTCTGGATAACACCCTTTGGGCTAAGACCGCAGTTGATTTTTATCTACATGAGCGGAGCCAGGGGTGTTTCACTGACATATGCAAGCTCAACGATGATATCTATTTGTTGCTTGATCGGTCTTGGTGGGGCGTATTATTAGGGGTCGAAGATAATGACTATTTCGATGGAGGGGTAAGTCTTATATTTTTCTTATATTTCAATTTGATTTTATTTTTAATTTATGTAAGTTACTAATATATGTCTTTTTTTATAAAACAGCATATCGATGCGTGGGTGTCACATCTTCTAATAATTAGGAAACTTAAGGAAAATAAAAGAAATACACGATATACAATTATGCCGACGTCTTTTAACGCCGTATCCACGTTGCGATTTTCATTCTCTCGTTGCGATTTTCATTTCAACCAAAAGATAAAACAGTGTTGTAAATTTTAGTTTCAAGAATAAACTACTATTTATGTTTATTGTTTTTTGTATATCTTCACAATGTAGTTTTTGGTATATCTAACTTGGAATGTTTATTGTTTTTGTAGAAATTTTTTTCGGCTTCATTGACATTAAGGAATAAAGTTAGCCTAGCCACTACAATTGCTTCGAAGCTTTCACCTGCACAAAGAATATTGTTTGAGGAAACATGCTTCGGGCCATGGCTGAGAGTACAGCATCCGGGTGGAGATGCTAATTTGACCCATTTGTGGCTTCAGACCATGACTAACGATCTACCCGACAGTATACAACGTGGTGAGGAAGAGATATGGTTTCATTTTCCACCGGCGTATACTTGTTTTGGGCGGAAGGAGTTCTGCTTAATCACTGGTCTACGATTCGGACACGATGATGTAGGCCGGTACACTCGTCATATCACCCGCCCATCATGGTTATCCAGGGTTTTTCCTGATAAGTCAATAAAGAAGCCGAACTTACACGTCGACGACCTGAAGAAATTGTTTAATAAGAAAGATGGTTTTACTCGGATGAATGATGCCGATGTTGTCCGAGTATGCCTTCTAGTACTTTTGTATGTCGGCTTTTTAGGCAGAGAGGCCAGACAACCTATTCCTCAAGAACTAATATTATTGGTAGAGGACCTAAATGCATGGAATCTATTTCTGTGGGGGTTCGTATATGGAAAGCTACCTGGACTAAGTTGTCGTCTGCCTTTAATGACCGCAAAAGTTGCGTGGCGATGGGTCAAAATACACTTTGTCATGCTTTGTTTGGGCCTTTAAGGTAAGAATTTCTATATAATGTTTTCAAAATTATAATTAATTATTTAACAATTACTAATGTTTGTTATTATATTGTTTGTAGATTTGGATATTCGAGGCTTTCCCCAGCATGCGGACATATACATTAAAAACTTCAAATGATATTCCTAGGGCTATTTCCTGGAAGAGGAATGTCTTTGGATTGGGAAGACTTAACCATATGCGACATAATAATGTAAGTTAACACAAATACTATCATATATAAACAAGTTATTAATAGTAGACGTTTAACTTTGTTTGAGTTTTTATATTTTTAGGAGGCCAACACTCCATTAATGAGACTGACACCCACGGAGGTTGAGCTTGCCACTGATTGGTGGCAAGCTAGTCAGCGTTTTCTTGATGGCACGAATGATGAGCAGCCTCCACTTCCTCCACTTCGAGAGCCATCACCTCACCCAGAGCCATCACCTGATCGACCCGACTATACACCTCTACAACGAGAGCCATCACCTATCCCGTCACATCATCGAGCCTCTTCTCCACCATCACCTCATGATAGGCGACTGACAAAGATGCCACGACTTCTATCTCCCTGTTCTCCACCTTCACGGGATGAGTCAAGGGAGTTACGTGATGAGGTCAATGCCTTGTGTGAGGAGATCGGTACTCTACGCGATAACGATGGTGCATGGCGTGTGGAGGTGTCTACTTTACGTGGTGAGGTTGTCGTTCTACGTGAGATGGTAGTATCGTTGCAGAATGAGGTTCATACTCTACGAAACGAGGTAAGTTTAAGATTTTCCATATTTAACTTGATGATAAATTTACTCGTAATTTCACTTAGATTAACCATTTCACTTAGATTGCTTAGTAAATTTATTCAGTCGCTGCCAATAGTGCTAAACTGTTTATTAACATTGTGAAGTTAGTATTTGTCTTTTGTTGTCTTTTGATTGAAGTAAATTTATTTGGTTGCTGCCAATTCTGCTAAACTGTGTATTCTTTAACACTGTGAAGTTAGTATTTGTCTTTGTTTTATCTTTTGGTTGAAAGTAAATTTGTTCGGTTGCTGCCAATTCTGCTAAACTGTCTATTCTTTAACACTGTGAAGTTAGTATTTGTCTTTGTTTTGTCTTTTGGTTGAAAGTAAATTTGTTCGTTTTGCTGCCAATTCTGCTAAACGGTGTATTCTTTAATACTCTGAAGTTAGTATTTGTCTTTGTTTTGTCTTTTGGTTGAAGTAATGCAATCCATTCAAGTTTCAATTTGCAGAAGAAGAAGAAATAGTTTATTCTTGAAACTATATTTTAGCAACACTGTTTTGTCTTTTGGTTGAAATGAAAATCGCATCGAGAGAATGAAAATCGCAACGCGAAACAAAAATCGCAACGCGAAATGAAAATCGCAACGCGAAACCAAAAATCGCAACGCGAAACTATAATCGCGTTGCGATTTTCATTTCGCATTGCGATTCTCTCGTTGAGATTTTCATTTCGCGTTGCGATTTTCGTTTCGCGTTGCGATTTTCATTTCGCGTTGCGATAGTCATTTTTCACGTTGCGATTTTAAGTTCCAGAAACTATTCTTCTTCTGCAAATTGAAACTTGAATGAATTGCATTACTTCAACCAATAGACAAAGACAAATACTAAGTTGACAGTGTTGCAAGTTTGAAACATATTTGTCTTTGTTATCTGATGCATTTTGTGAACTATGATAGAATAATGACTTGGGTGAAATTCAATGCAAGTTTGAAACATATTTGTCTTTGTTTTCACTGTTTAAATACCATGTTTGTTTATTTACTGATTTTTGTATTTAATTATTTAGCGGCCCGATAAGGTGGATGTTTTACGTCGGGTTTTTCTTGCACGACAGAGTTCACGCATCAGACGGCGTGCACGTGCTATTAAGTCTCCGTACACCCCAATAGTGCGAAGACACCGCAAGAAGAAGCCCAACTCGCCTGTCATCCCTCAAGAGTCCACTCCTATCGTTGAAGAGGCCCCTATCATTCCTCGAGAGTCCCCTCCCACCGTTCAAGAGGCCACTGTCATCGTTGAAGAGGTCCCTCCCACTATTCAAGAGCCCGATTCACATGGCGTCATATGTAGGATTCTTGAGAAACCCTCTGACGTGCCGGACATGATGGATGATAGTTGGCTCTCGTATGAGTTACCGGCCAGTACCATTCCGGTATCTGAAGTGAAGAGGAGACAATTACCTGACACAATTCTGGATAACACCCTTTGGGCTAAGACCGCAGTTGATTTTTATCTACATGAGCGGAGCCAGGGGTGTTTCACTGACATATGCAAGCTCAACGATGATATCTATTTGTTGCTTGATCGGTCTTGGTGGGGCGTATTATTAGGGGTCGAATACAATAGCTATTTCGACGGAGAGGTAAGTCTTATATTTTTCTTATATTTCAATTTGATTATTTTTTTAAAAATTTATGTAAGTTACTAATATATGTCTTTTTTTTTAAAACAGCATATCGATGCGTGGGTGTCATATCTTCTAATAATTAGGAAACTTAAGGAAAATAAAAGAAATACACGATATACAATTATGCCGACGTCTTTTAACGCCGTTCACTTGAAGAATCAACGAGATGAATCATTTGCGTTGGGCAATGGACAAGTTAAACTTTATCCTGCATGGTGGGAGGTCGATAAGGTTAGTATTTATTTTAGATTGAGTTTAAAGGTATTCATAAATAAATGCGCAAATGAATGAATTATTACTTATGATTGCAGGTGTTTATCCTTGTTTTGGAACGTAAACATTGGCTTCAGCTCCCATCCCTTAAGGCAATAGTATTTGACAACATGATAAATTACATATCATTGGCTGATTTAAGAGATATTATTAAGGGATGGAGCTCTCATTTGGCTAAATTCTTGGATGCGATAAATTATTAGACTCGTTCTGGAAACAAGAAGCCAAAGAAGCTCAATATTACAGTTAGCAGAGACGAGACCGCACCACAATAAACGAATGGACCCAGAGGGGATTGTGGTCCTCTCGTATGCTTGGCGTTGGAGCGTTTGATCACAGAAGTATAAAGTATCTACCTCCCACCGATAGAGATAGAGCTGCAGTAGGCTTGTGGTTTCGGCATTATATGGCTAGATCGATATATACGAGACGCTGCCTACCTGCATCCGCGTTATAAAAATGTCCATAAACAATTGGTAAGTTTATAGGCTTTTGGTTTGAAAATGTTTGGTTAAGTACCTAGAATTTAATTATTTGATGTTTGTAGGTTTTAGATGTGTAGAAAGTGTTGTTTGAGCAAATGTTTGGTTTTTGCAGGTTAATCTCATAAGTGAGCTGCGTGAAAATGATGTATGGCTGCAAAAGTTTATTTAATAGTAGATGAGGAAATAAGAATTATTACTTATTTTTGATTGTTTAATTGATTTGTAAAAGATGATTTGTAAAAGTTGATTTGTTTAATTGATGTGAACATAATTCTTATTGTGCTTGTTTAATTGATTGAAATGTAATGGTTGATTTTGTTGATTTATATCTGCATTATGTTGAAGGCAAAAATGACTATCGCAATGCGAAATGAAAATCGCAACGCGAAATGAAAATCGCAACGACAAAATCGTAACGCGAAACTAAAATCGATAACAACTGAACATATCATAGCAATTTTCAAACTCAAGTTACTAATACATGCCTAACTGAAAATGCTAAAAGTTCACACATAAAATCCACATAATACAACGTTTGCATTTAAAAATCACCTAAGTTAACAGTCCCAAAAGGTGAAGCCGGTTGTGATTGGGATTTTAAAGATGATTGCGAATTTGAAATTCAGTATTGCGATAGTCAGAATATCGTTGCGATTTACGTAATCGCATTGCGATTTACGTAATCGCATTGCGATTTAGGAAAATCGCAACGCGAATTTGGGAAATCGCAATGTGATAGTCAGAATTGCGTTGCGAATCTGGAAACTGATTTGCGATACCGGAGATCGCGTTGCGAATTATCGATCGCATTGCGATTTAGTTGGTCATTTTGGCAAATCCAAAAAAAGTTGGTTAAAATCGTATATTATAAGGCATTTTTTGTCACTAAGGTTATTTTCTCTAAATATAAACTATAGTTTATATATATAATTCATAAGTAATAATGTAAACTATATATATTATATAGTTTATATGTATCAACTATAGTATATAATTTATATATAAACTATAGTTTATATATATATATATAATTTTTAAATATATTTTATATATAAACTATATAGTATATATAGTTTATGTATATATATAAACTACATATAATTACATAAATTAACCCTAAATCATATATATATATATATATATATTATATAGTTTATATATAATTTATATTAATAAATTATATAATTTATACATAATTTATATAATTTAATTATACAAATATAAATATAGTTGTATAGTTTATATATAGTTCATATATACTTTATATATAAACTATAATAAATTATATAGTTTATACATAATATATTAATATATAGTTTATATATACCATATAGTTTATATATACTAATGAACTATATAATATATTAATATATAATTTATATATATCATATAGTTTATATATATTATATAGTTTATATATATTAATGAACTATATACTATATAGTTATACTAATAAACTATATAATATATAGTTTATATATACTAATGAATTATATAGTTTATTAATATAAATTATATATATATATATATATTAATACACCATATAGTTTATATATAGTTCATATATACACTACATAATTTATAAACATGATATAAAACTATAAATATAAACTATATAGTTTATATATATATATATATAGTTTTAATTTTTTCTGAAATAAATGCAATTTAATCTATTTTTCTTCGCATTTTAAAATTATTTTGATTTCATTCTTTTGTGTTTTTACTTTATTTAAATTTTAATTCGTTCATTTTCATATTTATTCAATTTAGTCGTTAAATTTATAATTGCATATAAATTTGATTCATTCTTATTTTTTATTTATATTTTTGTAATTAGCTCATAACTTTTTAAATGGATATAATTTAGTCCTTGTCTATATTAATTTCAACCTCACATTTTAAAATTATTTTGATTTAGTCCCTCATCAATGCGTGTTGTTTAATTTATTTAAATTTTTATTTTTAATTTCATATTTATTCAATTTAGTCCTTAATTTTATATTTTTCATAAAATTGATCTATGATTATTTATATTCTTTGTAATTTACTCTAAATCATATACAATTACAAATTGCAATTCAACGTTCGCGAAAGACGAAAATAATTAATCCAAAAATAAAAGTTGACCTGATTTGAACTTAATCAGTATATGATAAAGATCCGACCTGAATTTTATCTGCCAATGATGTGACTCGATCTAAACGAGATCATCCTGAAGTTCATCCGAACCTGAATTAACCTAGTCTTTAACTGCTCCAAACCTGATCTAACATCAATCTGAACTGAAAGTAACCTGACCTGAACTGAATATTATGTCATATCAACCTGAAAATGACATGATCTGATTTGACCTAGATCTGACTTAATTTTAGTCGAAGCATCAAATTGACCTGACTTGACCTGTATCCGATTTTACCCGACCTGACAGGATCCAACTGAAACCTAAACGATTATCCGAATTTTCATTCCTACTTGGAAAGCTATTTCAATAAAGTTTCTTTCACTAAATATAATACTATGCATTAAATATATCTCTATCGTAACTAGTAGGATATTAATTAGTTATTTATATTTTTATATTTGATATTTTTTAAATGAAAAAGAAAGGCTAAGTAATTACTTCAGCCTCTAAGTCGTAGATAAAACAGGTTAAGATGCAATCCATAAGATTTTAGTACATGAATTAAAAGTTAGTTAACGAACATTGGTGTAGAAGATTGCAGAAGCCTAATATACAAAATGAAAAAGGAAAAGCAGTGGGAAGCGTACATGATCAATTCACACCATATATAAGAACAGAACACCTAAGTTGAAGCATCCAGATACCAAAAATGCCATCAAGTATGTATTGCGAACAAAACATCAACGTCCAGGGTCCTCGAAAGTTCATTACAAGAGCTTCCCGCATCCGTGTTCGATACCTCATCTCCGCTATGGTCCGCCGAATTGATTTGCTGATGATAAGCAACGCCAATAACAGCAAGAAGGGGAATAATCCGAAAACAAGTAAGAAGAAAAGGTTTAAGTATGCCCAAGTGAGGGTTGGCGCTAATATCGTCATTGAGCATAAGTAGCAGATGACCATCATATAAAGCGGCAAGGCGAGGAGCAGGAAAAGATGAAAACTGGAGACGAGGAAGACGGTTACGAGATCCGTGAACCCGAAGGTTGCAAGGTTCAAGAACCAAAACAACCCATACATGTGCGGATTCATGATTGCTGTACCCGCTTTTCCCGATTTATCACCAAAGATGGACTAGATGTATGGAAAACGTCTCTATTGGACAAGTGATAAGTGATGTTTGAGGGGGGCGGGGCCTGGGCCGGGGCGGTGTCATTGTCTTGCCAAACACTACCCGGTGGACTTAACGACGATTGGTAGATTGCTGTTATAACGAGAGCCATAATCACCAGCATCGTGTTGATCGTGTCCACCGACATGCTGTGCCTTGTTCGATCTCCCACCACTGAACATAACTTTACCTTTCAACAGCTTAATCTTGGTATCGACTTCCTCATTCGTGCTGGTGTTCACGCCTCGTCTGTTGGCATATTTTATGATTTGTAGAGCCGTCAAATTTTCCGAATCCTTGCCTTTTACGTGCAACCAAAGTTGGGAACCTAACAACAGTTTGAGTGCCTGCATGCATCATTACAGAAGAGCCATTAATCGTTTATAAAAACGGATTTTTGGAATGCAACGTAAATAGAATTGCACATGCATCGTTTTGCTTCTTCTTAGCCGCAATGTGCAACAGAGTGTTGTCTTGGTCGTCTTTCCAATTCGCCATTTTTTTCTCAAGGGAAAAGACTCTATCGTGAATACGACGAGTCCTTTGAAGCCATCCAATTAGGAGGTTAAAAGCTTCGATCTGGTCTTCTTTCAAAGCAAGATGTAACGCAGTCTCGTCTCGAACCATCACATCTTCTATGCATTCGGGGCAAGCTTCAAGAAAGTTGACCAAAAGCCTAGAGTTCCCGGTTGTAACTACATAATGGAAAGCAGTCATCCCTTCCCATCCTTTGACGCGAACCAGATCTTTATCTGCCTTCAACAGTCGAAACACTAGCTTAGTCTGCGCACTTCTCAGCGCCAAGTGCAGGGGACTAAACCCATTTGAGTCCAGCTTCTTGGCAAACGAAGGCTTCAAGTTCATCATCTCCATTGCGAAACTAACTTGCCCTTTGTCTGCTGCTACATGAAATGGAGTATCGACGAAAGGAACTTGGTCGATGCGTTCCAAGATGTACGGATCCTCTCCAATTAGAACGTGCAAGGCATCAATGTGTCCTGTTTCAGCTTCTTCTCTCAAACTTGGATCCATCTCCATGATTTTTCTTCTTCTCTTTTTGTACGGAGGCAGTAGAAGAAGTAAAATGGAAACCATGAAAGTAAGTACAAGAACTAATATGACCTCATTGCTTCACTTTAAGTAAATAATGCTTCAATGTGATGGGTAAGATGAACACAAACTAATAATTATGGTCTCACTTCTAAATCCACAGAATATTACTGCAAAATTTAAAACAGCGTAACTAGAAAATATAAATTCAAAAAAAAAAGCTTACATGTATGAGAATTGTGGAGATTGTAATGAAAGAGAAGTCACGTGCAGTGAGCGGCGCAACGGCATAAACTGATGGACGGACGGCGATGGGTTGAGAAACAGTGATGATCTTACAAAATTAAATAGATAAAAAATGCAAAAACTTTAGTAAAAATAATAAAAGTTGATATCCTTTAGTGCAATTAACCTATAGATGATAGATTTTTTTTCTTTTTCCATGAAATTTACACCACGTATTTACGAACATGTGATTTAAATGGTATAATAATAATAATAATTAAATAAAGACAGAGAATAGGGAAATGTTTCTCCATTCTTCTTTCCCAACGTGAGAAAGAAAAATACGAAGTGGAATTTTATCTCTCTTCTTCCATCTAATTTCAACAAGGCATCTGCAATTTTTTTCATGTTCATTTTAGTCCTTCTCAAACTATTTAGTTCATTTAGTATGAGAACAGCAAAATTATGGAGGAAATTCTCATAAAAAAGACCTAATGTCCATGTTACGAAGAGATGAATTTGGTTAGGAAAATTTATCTATAAGTTAAATCTAGGCCAAAAAAATCAATGTGAACGAGTCATTTAGTACATTTCTAATACTGGTATTTAGGATTTCTAGCATTTTATGGTTTGCATGTGTTGTTCATCTTTATGCAAGCATTTTCTATCTAGAACTCCAAAACTTCTCTCCGGCAGAGTTGTTTCACACAAGGGAAGTTATCGCCATTTTCTCACGTTAAGGCAGCTGTGATGGCTTATTGGCTTTGCCCCGGCTACTTCCCAATTCTTTTTTTTTTTAATTTGATGCTGTCTAATTTATTATTTTCTAATTTTATTGCGTTTATTGATATACCCTCGATTAGTGTGTACTATGTTTACTAATTATTCAAACCAAATTTAACTATTAAAAAAAGAGTATATACAAATCAAATAAGAATACAATTAAAATATGGACATTTAAAGAATAAAGAAAAATGTTTTAGGCTTCTTCAAAATGTCAATGATATTGGAGGTTCTTTTTTAAAATTAAACCAAAATAATATCGACAAGCAGATATGTATATCTTCAAGGGAACAGCAGTTTGTATACCAAAGACATTTTAGATACAAAGCTCAAGACCTCAATGGTACATCAAAGAACAAATTTTTGGACAAGGAAAGACAAACAGAGAGGCCAAAAAGTTTTCAATCAAAAAAGGGGGCAAACGGCCGTTATATTAGACAAGGTAAGGTCTGAAATCGGACGGGTAACTGGGACTTGCGAAATTCCACATCTGAGGACGGCTTGGCAACGAACTCCACGCCAAAGAATCATACAATCTCAAACATATAAAAACCTGTTGTTTTTTAATCTCAATCATCAGCTGCCAAGGAATTCATTTTTTTCTCGAACAAGTAAATTGATTGATTCCCCTTACCTGAATTATTCCCGTCTCATTCTCGGAGTGGAAGAACCGGTACAAGATCCTTGAACCGGATGAGTTCTGGGATCATACTTTTGAGAAGCAAGATAAGTGAGGGCAGTGACTACATCGGCTATCAGAGGCCGCATATTCGGCTGTTCTTGAACACACATTGCAGCCACAGCTAGAGCCTGGTACAAACCCCTCACCGGATATTGTCCCTGAAGTAACGGATCGGCCATTTGTGCAAATTTCCTTCGATCTTTAAACAGCGGACGAGCCTGTTAAATAAAAATGAACGATTTATGCAATTACAGAACATATAGGGAAAGAAAAACTAAAAAAAACTAAAAGATTTGCAAGAATTATTGTTCTTTCTAGTTTTATTTTCTTCATCGGAAGGATTGTGCCTTGATGACCAAAGAATATTTCTCTCATATGTTGGAGCAACTCTTCATTTTTCTTGAAGTATTCATATCCAACACTCATGTAAGACGCATATGCAGGCTATGGGGAAATGGCACACCAAATCAATGAGAACTTAAAACATAAAATGAATATACTCATGTCCTTTACTCATACCCGTGTCCAAGTATCGTAGATTCTCACAGTTCAGATTTCAAAACAATTGAACAGATAAGAGTTTTGGTAGGAAATCAAGATTCTATTACAACACATGTTCATGCAAAAATATAAGTCAAGGCAATAAAACGTGTCTTCAAACTCTCAGCAATATGATAAAAAGAGAGATGCCATAGCTATCTTACCCAGGCAACCAGATTTTGCTCGCCACCAGCCCTTGAGTTATCAATAGCTTTCCTTCCGGTAATGATTTCAAGCAGAACAACTCCAAAACTATAAACATCCGACTTCAACGTAAGCTGGCCAGTCATTGCATATTCTGGTGCGCAATATCCATATGTCCCCATCACTCTTGTAGATACATGAGTCTTATCCCCGACAGGGCCCAATTTGGCCAAGCCAAAATCCGATAGCTTGGGATGATAGCCCTCGCCAAGCAAAATATTCGAGCATTTCAAATCACGATATATGACAGGAGGACTAGCTTTGTCGTGTAAATACTCCAAACCTTTTGCAGCACCTGCAGCTATTTTCATTCTTGTATTCCAATCTAATTGTCTTTTGTCGGGAGGTAAGTCTGGAATGTAAAAGCACACAGAAAAAGAATCAGCAATCCGTGTTAAAAGATGATACATGATGAGGTAATCAAAACAATTGCCAGAATGTACTAAGCAAAAGAGACAAATCAAACACCAGAAACTCAAAACTTAAAAAATGTGTGTATTAACCATGATAATTGACATGATATTCAATGTTGTGAAAGAAACCAAGATTCCAAATAATAGTATAGAAATGAACGTTTTCTATATATACCATGTAAATGATCTTCCAAAGATCCTAATGGCATGTACTCATAAACCAAAAGCCTCTGATCTCCATCAGCACAGTATCCAATTAAGTTGACAAGATTAGGATGGTGAAGCAGGCTCAACATCAGTACTTCAACAAGGAATTCCCGGTTTCCTTGCAGTCCATTACGATCAAGCTGCTTGATTGCTACAACCTACACAACACGGGTGACAAAGTTAAGGTTGAGTAGACTTTATGAATGGTTAAGGGGCATATATTTCCGAAACAAAAATATATTCATGAAGAATGAAATTTCATGAGCCGGCCTAATAATACTTTTAGCTCAACATAGATGGGCAGAACAAAACAATGAAAATTCTGATTTCTATGATTCTATCAACTAAAGGTGTATGAGATCATTGGAGAGTAGAACTGTGTTATATGGATCTCACGTCACGTATTTGTATTTCCTACAAAATTTACAGTCTCATTAATACACATACTTTATTAGTGCTTTCCAATCGCCCTTTATACACCCGGCCAAAACCTCCTTCGCCTAAAAGGTAATCTGCCCGGAAATTCTTTGTTGCAGCTGCCAATTCACGGAAGGTAAATGTGTGTGCTGCAATGTGATCCGACCCTCCATCCTTGTTAGCCTCCTTCTTAGCATCCGGCACAGAACTAACCTTCAGCTTTTCTACCATGACGCCGAAAAACAAACTTAATATGATAACTACTGAAAACTGAACCAAAAACATGTAGCACTACCACATCAACAGAAGCCAAAGACAGGTTTTATTACTGATCACATTATAACAACAGATAGACGAAAAGGACACAAACTTCTATACCCTTTTATCACAGAATTATTTTTCTTTAAACACTCATACCCGAACGTACGGATAGGATTTGACCCTCCAGTATCATTCAACTACATGGAAAAACTTAACAAAAATTGAGCATTCCTATATCTAACAGACTGACACTCGCAGCTAAGTCCGAGTAACATAGATTGAAAATAATAATATGCTTGAACTAGTACAATTCTTTAGGCTTCCATAGAAATTCTAACCTATATAGTATAACAGCATCAAGAACCAAAAAAAAAAGTATAAATTCTTGCAGTTCAATGATGGCAACAATTTAAATCCCAAAACATCCATGGACTTAATAACATAGAATTAAATTAGGAATTGCACACTCAAGCTAATAACCGAGACTTCAAATCAGTATACATAATATATATTAATTCCAAAATCGATAGAATTAAGAATTACAAAATACTATGAAATTTTCATCTTTATAGACTCAAAACAAACACAAAACGAAAATACTATATATATATATTTCAAATTCCTACATAGATCAAGCTGAAACATTGAAAACCCATGAAACTAGAAAAACAATTGAACAAATGGGTCTTACACCAAAAAAATTGCAGAAAAAATAAAAAGGAATTCACTGTTTTTTTCCTTTTTAACAAAAAGATCAAATCCTCTATGGGGTATATAAAAAAAATCAAAATTTGAGGTGGTTTTCGAAATCAAAAGAATATAAGAGCAACAAGAACCTGAAGTAGAAGGGATCTGATCATCAGATGAATTGGCCGTGGTTGTACTATCATCGATGGGAAGCTTTTTCTTTCCATTTTTGTTTTTCTTTCCACCACAAGGGAACCAGCCCATATGAATTTACCCTTTAAAACTCTCTTTCTCCACTTTCTTACTTTAGAATCCAATGGCTGAAACAGCAAGAGAAAGAGGGAGAGAGAAAGCTAAAAGGAGAGAAATGAAAATCAGACCCAAACACACACACTTTAGGGAAGAAAGCGAGCGAGAAAGGTTAAAATTCACAAGAATTTTTGTTCAACTCCTTTTTCCACCTTTTACAATTGTGCCCTTTGGTTTGTCTGTAAATTGCTAATCATGCCATTACTTTAAAAATGTTCTAATTTCGTTATTTATGTTTTTTTAATTTATCAAATCTTGTAACTTAAAAAAAACTATTTTTAATTTAACTATTTATGAAAATTCATAAAAATGTACTAAAATAATTTAGATGGTTAAAAAAATAACATTTGATTTGTCACAATATAAATGATGAACTTAGGTGGCGCTTGGTTCGTTGGAATGTTTATGAGGGAATTATAATCTGTAAAGGAATTGGAATCTGAAGGAATTTGAATCTGAATCTGAAATCTATTTCTGAAGGTATTTTTCACCCTAAACCCGAACCCGACCCGAATATCACACTTAAAAAAATCCGACCCGAATATCACACTTAAAAAACCCGACCCGGATATCAAACTTAAAAAACCCAACCCGAACCCAATTTTTTTTAAAAAAATCCGACCTGACCCGAATATCACACTTAAAAAAACATGACCCGACCCGAATATCAAACTTAAAAAAATCCGACCCGAACCCGATTTTTTAAAAAAAATCCGACCTAATTCCTCAATTTTTTAAAAAAAATCCGATCCGAATACTAAAAGATTGATGAGGGTAGTATGATCAAATTTCACATTCCCTGGATATAATTTACTTTCTCTCCCTTGATGGAATTAGATTCAAATTCCCACTTTGAAAACTTGAACCAAACATGAGACATGAGTGGAATTGAATTCTAATTTCTCCTAATTTCAAAGGATTCCAACGAACCAAACGTCATCTTAATTATTATAAATGAACCAATTTGTGTGTGGAAAATGATAGTTTGCTAACGAAATTCAGAATTTCTCAATGATGTAAAGTTGACCTATTCTTGTGAACTTCAAATATATTTCAAGAGTAGGGATGGCAAAAAAACCCGAACCCGACGGGGAAAATCGAAAATCGAATTAAACGGGTCGGGTTCGGGGATGATAAACGGGGACGGGGACGGGGACGGGGACGGGGACGGGGAAAACCCATTTATTTTAAACGGGGACGGGGACGGGGACGGGTTTGGTAATCCCCGCCCCGATTACCCGATTACCCGCCCCGATTACCCGACCCGATAAATATTAAAAATAATTATTTATATATATATATATAATATTAATAAATTTAATTTAAATAAAAAATATATATTTAATTTAAATATATATATATACCCGGCCCGATTCCCAGCCCAATACCGACCCAATACCCGACCCAATACCTGGCCCAATACCCGTTTAAATAATCGTTTGTGCTAAACGGGGATACCCGTTTCCCCGCGGTTTTCATCGATTACCCGACGGGGATCCCCATTTAAATCCCCGCGGTTTTTTAAACGGGGACGGATACCGGTTTTTTAAACGGGGACGGGGACGGGGGGACCAATACCCGGCCCGAACCCGGCCCGTTGCCATCCCTATTCAAAAGTATTTTCGAGTAACATATTAAAGGCTATAAGCACTTTCAATCATTTATTAGAAAAAGCACTATCAATACTGATAAAAGATATTTTCAAAAATATATTTTTTAATTATTTAATTTCAATTTTGAATTTCTATGATTCACGTAAATAACATTTTAAATAGACAAAAAAATTATTTTAGACGTTTTTTAAAATATAAAAAAAACAAGATATAAATAATAAATGGATAATTTTACTCAAAAGTATTTCTAAAAAAAATAAAATTTAAATATTTTAGTTTTTGAATCCGAATTAATAAAACACTTGGAGTGTGAAAATCTATACATTCTATATTATTTTTGTTTAAAAAATACATTTTGACTCCAAAAACACCTTAAAAAAACTACAAAGAACATAACTTTAATCCCTTGGATCAAGATGATAATTGATATGAATGCCTATGAAAGGTCGAGCTGAATTTAAAATACTAGCAATATGTTTTAAAGAGTGAAATGAGATAAACAATTTTGAAGTCTAAATATATAACGTTAATTTATTTGTTTAATATTTAACTAAACCAATCCCTCCCTTTCCCCAATAAAAGAGAGTAATTATGATGGAAATTTAATTTAATAGGAGTATAAGCATAGTTAAGGGTTAATTTAATGTTATTTTTTTTAAAAATAAGGGGAAAAAAGTATAATACAAAAATGCTTTTATAAAATATATTTCATTCATATTGGACAATTCAATTGTTATTTATTTTTATTTCAATATAAATATTTCATTTTTCCAAAAAAAATCAACCCTATATACGCTTACATCAAAGGTATTTTCTTCAAATAACTTAAAGTGATTATAAAATAATATATATTTTCATATTGAAAATGCAAGTGGTCAAACCTAGAACCTTTGTCATCGGTCTTTCATTTAGAATCAAAGACCTCTCCTAGAGAATCATTTTACCCTCATGACATCCCAAGCTTAATTAATGAGTACAAAGAAGCAACAAAAGTCACAAGATACATTACCATTGAAGATCATCCAAAATGCAGATTTTACTAATACTTTCGTAGTCCGATCATCCAACACAAGCTTAATTAATGCGTACAACGAGGAATAACAAGATACATTACCATTCAAGATCAGTCCAAACCAAATGCAGATTTTTAGAAGCAACAAAACTCACCAAGAATAAACATACCCAGCATGTCCCGGTTAATTCCAGCCTCAAAACATAAGAAAAAAAACTTTAAAGGAAATCCAACATATCTGTACTGAATTGAAAATACTTGCACCAAAATCCAAGTAATGTAATCATCTACTATTGCCTAAATCTCACAACTATCCCCCTATGCTACATGAAATTTTAATTTTTTCTGAAGTATTCATGCTCAAAAGTCTTGACAATAATAAACATACCCAGCATTTACCCAATTAACATAAGACTAACAATACACCAGAAATTGAAGAGAGCGAGAGAAATCAACTTGCAAGGTGATTCTAAAATCAGCAATTCCAATTCCAAGATTACATGATTCTACAAAAGTAAAAGAACATATAAGAAGAATTCTCCTTTAAATACAACAAAAAAAAGGTGGGGGCTCTTCAAGCTTCTTCACATAAGCCTTTAAAACCATAACAACATCTCTCGCAGGAGCTTGAAGTGTCCCCACAAGTCCAATAGCAGGACTCTGCAAACTCCCCAAAAGCTTAGCGTAAATCTCAGCTCAGGTAGGCATACTTTCAAGCTGTTTAAAATCGTCTGACCCATAAAATTCCCCTTCGAAAACACCCCCCGTGAAGTCATTCTCAACCTTCTTCTCCTTCTGGAACGTCCTGTAAGGTTTAAGAGCGTCCGGGATTTCTTCGGTGTGAACGAAGAGCCAAACGTTCATCCCTTTCATACACGGCCTTAATGCCTCCCAGGGAGTCCCTTCGATGGCTTTCAAGACCAGAGTGTTCTTAGCGACGAGTAGTTTCTATGACTCGGGGAGAGATCGACGCAATTCTTGGATTTGTTTGACGGTGAAGCCCTTGTATTCCACGGCGGCCAGGAGGTAACAGTTCTCTAACTGGGATTTGACAGTTTCGACTGTTTCTTCTTTCTTGGTCCGGGAAATGGCGGCTCTGATGGGAGAGTATGAGCAGTGCCGTGGCTGATGCGGCGCAAGACCCCAAAAAAATAGTTAAATATATATATATATATATATATATAATGGCGTTTTTAAAAAAAAATTATTATAGATGGATTTATTACAACGCTTTTTAAAAAAACGTCACTATTATTGCGACTTATTAATTAAACGATATTATATATGGATCTATCGTGGCGTTTATCAAAAAAATACCACTATTGTTACCCCGAAATCGAATATATTTAAAAAATAGAAATCCCTTTATAAGAATTTGTATAGGATTCCCGAAAATCCTATCACGACTCTGGGTACGAGGGTGGTTTGAGGGAAATGAAGGTGGGTTAAGAGGCAGGGCAGATGTACATTCCAACCCCATTATTTTGAGAAAAAATATTTAATTTAATTTAATTTGTTAATAGAAATATAAAAGAATAAGAAATTTTGTATACTCAAATTTTTTTAAAATAAAGTATTAAAATTTTAAAACCTTATTTTTTAATTTTTAAATCTGTCACTGTTTGGAGGATTGGGGCGGTGGATTTTAGTGATAGGGCTTGGGAAGGCGGGGGTTTTAGGGAAGGGAAGGAGGGGAGAGCTATTTCCATGGCGGGAAAAAAATAGAAGATTAGAAGGAAAGGTATGACGAGTGAGTTTAGGGGTTGAAAGGGACTTATCTGGTTCTTCTGAATAACTTAGAATTGAAGAGCAGCGACCACGACCACGACCCGACCTGACCCGAGACGAGACAAGACGGACGACGGCGGCGGTGGCGCGCGAGAGTCCCCTTGTTCTCTATCACTCAACAAGGAAGTGTGAAAGCAAATACCATTCCCAATAGTGTTTCCAATACTATGTGAGATTGAGTATTACCAACACTTGTTTCTAATACAATGTGATTATTCAGGAAACAATTAACAATCATGCATCTTAAAACAACTGAATCAGCAACCAATTGCATTAGTATTATACGATTAAATATGTCATAATTAAATGTCAATCTACAATCAATCGCGATTATTGCAATTTTAAGCAAAACATTCAAAAATAATATTACTATTTAAGGCTCAATCACACATAGTATTATGAACAAGTGTTGGTAATGCTCAATCCCACATAGTATTGGAAATACTATTGGGAATGGTATTTAAGGCTTGGTTTTCCCACTTCCTTGTTGAGTGATAGAGAACAAGGGGGACTCTCGCGTGCTGCCGCCGTCAGTCTCGGGTCGGGTCGTGGTCGTGGTCGTGGTAATACGTGTCTTCGACACGTCCGCGCGAATACTATCTTTTTAGAAAAAATTCTTAAGAAATGCAATACCACCAGTCGTTGCGATTTTGGACTATCGCAATGCGAACTTGGACTATCGCATTGCGATTTACATATTTGCATTGCGATAAT